TCATATTTCAGGCTTTCCTCAAATTCCAGGTAGCCTTCTTGCCTCAGCATTCTCTAGGTTGGTCTTAAAATCCTGGCCTTAAGTCATTCTCCTGCCTAGTCCGAGCAGTGGCAACTACAAGCATATCACTAGGCCCATCCCTTAAATCAATGGTTAAATTTGTCCTTTCAAATATTATAGCCTTTGGCCAAACATGGTGGTGCACATCTGTAATCCCAGCACTTGGGAGACTGTAAACAGGAGAATCAGTAGGAGTCTAATCTAGTAGTGAGACCTTGAACACCCTTCCCTAAAATACAGAAAAAAAACCCAAAAAGCATACATTTTTAAAATGCTGTTGCCAGGGATGATGGTAAACATTTGAAATCACAAGTTCAAGGTCACCCTGAATTATATAATGAGACTTTGTCTTAAAAAAATAACCTAAACAAAAAATGACAGTGTTTTTTGGTTATTTTCTTTGCTTTCTTTTTAAAATTTATTTTTGTATTTAGTACAGGATCTCCAGGTGTGGGAGGCACAATAACTCCAGGCCTCCAATACTATTGCAAGTGAGTCTTTTCCTAAATCCTGTGAATCTGCCACATCATGACTCTGTGCCATGTATCCCTTAATAGTCACCTGAGTGCCTCTGATCTATAAAATTCTCTTGGTGCATCAGCATCATTAGTGACACTGACTTCCTCTTCCCCTAACTCTGCTGAGCTAAGTTCCTAATTCTTCTTACTCCACCTATTTCCCATAAGTCTCCTGCTATGCCCCGGAGGTGCGATTTCCTGTCATAGCCCGGTTGCCTAGTTACTCACGCCTTTTACCCACACACGTCATTTCCCTATGCCTCCACTATATATACCCAGAGTTTCCTTTGAATAAACAAGACTTGATCAGAATCCTGTCTTGTTTCCATTTCTCACATCTCCTGTCCTTTGTCCCCTCCTCAATTCCCCACTCCTCTCCCAGGTGACCTTCATTGACTGACCCGCTGGCTCGGGACATCCAGGGTCTCACAACATAGAACAGATTAGTAGTGATCCTCCTGCTTTCAGCCTCCCAAGCACTGGGATTACAGGTTAGTGCCACCTCACCCAGTCTCAATCGCTATCTCAGCACACCCTGAGAGCGGAGCCGGACAGCTGTTTGCTTTTATTTTATTGTTTATTTTGGTTTTGTTTTCTCCTGCCTCAGCCTTCCAAGTGCTGGGACTACAGATATACATGACCACACCTGGCTTGTTGTTTTGGGCTTTTTTTGAGAAAGGGTCTCACTATGCAGCCCATGATGACCTCAAACTCACAATCCTATCTCAGTTATCCAAGTGCTGGGATTACGAGCTTGCATTACCATACCCAGCAAAAATAGTTCCTAACATTCTTACTTTAGAGACTTTCTAAAGCATGCTGTGAAGAACTTTTAGGAGTACAGGTAAAAATAAAATCCTATAGTATACTTATTACTTTCTTTTTTTTTTTTTTTTTTTTTGGTGGAACCAGGAATTGAACTCCAGCCCTTGCACTTGCCAGGGAAGCGCTTATTCTACTGAGCCATCTCCCTGGCCCTACTTATTACATGTGATCTATATGTGTTGATTTGATAGTGACAACAGAAATCATTATATTCAGATTATGGGAACAATATAAAATGAATTACTGTACTTAACCATGAAGCTAGCAGAGAAATATTTTATTTAAAATAAAATATGTTTAGGCTGTTACCATCATACAGATAAATTCTAACTAGCTTAAACAAAACCCAGTCTTCCACGTTACAGCACAGGCTAGAGAAAAGGTCCATCAAATATAAGAAAAAGTAAACAAAAGTAAAGACCAGCAATTCATTTTGATACAAAAAAAAGAGACTTATTCACTGAGTAAGCTATAGATACAAATAAAAAGAACAAGAAAATATAAGAAAAATCTATATAGATTTTTAAAATAACCTATTTCAATAATTATTAAATTACCTATTGATAATGAATATCAAAAAATGACAAGAAATGTATCAATTAAAAAGTGACTTAACAAAAGACCAGTTTATACATGCCTTTGTAGTGTATGCATAAAAATTTAAATATACAAAAAATTTAAATTTACAAATCACATTCCCAAACCCAAAAGAATCTTTTTACACAAATGAAATACAGACACAGACACATTCAGGATCCAAATTAGTCAAAAATATGTTTTAAATTACAGTAATTATAAGAAATGAAATGACAATTATATACAACTATTAAAAAGTTTTAAAAAGTTGAATGATGTTGCAAAGGTGCCACAATCGATTTAATGAGTATCATTCACGCTTATTTTAATTTTTTAGGTAATAGATTTAAAAAGCAAATCTTGAAACCAAAAAAGAAAAGAAAAAGAATTATAACTATGCTCACATGTTTTAACACTGTGAATTACAGAAAGATCCTCCAGAGCTGGGTGTAGCTGCCCAGAGCTATAATCCCAGCACTGGGAAGTCCGAGGCAGGAGGATCATGCAAGTTCAAGACCAGCCTGAGCTATACAGTTAGTTCAGGGGCTGTCTCCGAAAACCATAAAAGAAGGAGACAGAAAACAATATCCTCCATAAAAATCCAGTATTTGATAAAGCAAGGCACACAAGACCAGATTTTGATAAAGGTGCTTTTTCTTTGGCCCTATAACTTTAAATATCCTGGAGATTCTTAAGATGACTTTCAATATAGCATAAATAACTTTTATAACCTTTTCTTATGTAAAGTACACACAGTACAGTGATTAAATGCTTACAGTGGATGTTTAAATGAGTGATATTAAACTTTCTTTAAAAAACTATAACTTTTAAAAGTCTAATAATTCAATATTTAAGAATATTCATGATTATACTAACTGTACAGACCAAAATTTCAATTAGTTTCCTTTCAAATTGGTTTCAGAATCTAGTTTCAATATCAAACTGCCTTTCTTCTCTATGAAATTTTGTGACATTCAAAATAAACTGATGCTAACATTTAAGTTTTGCATCTCTAAACTACACAATCCACATAAAACTTACAATGTCTCTAAAATTATTTTTTAAAGAATTGACAATATTACTGTCTTAAAACATCTGCTGTATTTCAAACTTTTCTTCACAATACCATATTCTCAATTTGTAATAGAATTTATCAATTGGCACGTTTCTATCCATGAACACATTTTTGCATTGAACAGAGTAGTTGAGAGATAACAAATTCACTTTCAAAAGTATAGAAATATAAAGAATTGGTGTCACTGTTATAAAAGCTTGACATAATAAGACCTTTGCAGGTCATCAAAACACAAAGCACTTACACAAAATGGTGTTATCTGTATATACGATATGATCCAAGGACACAAGTCAACTTTCTATCTCCTTATAAATTAAAAATTAGAAGCTATGTAACCCAGTAACAGTTCAAAACTACTAGAAAAGCAAAATATAAATTATGCCTAATGAAAATTTGCTTTGAAAATACACTTTAGATTATCTTGCCCATATTTGCAACCTGCATATTTTTATAATCCTTAACTGGAATCTTTAAAATTAGACACTGGAAAATGTGTTATTACTTTAACATATTTAGTGTCTAATAACTGCTGGTCTAAATTATAAGTGTTAAAATAGGGCAAACTAAACCTAAATTTAAAAATGTGAATGTATACTGCATTAACGCATAATTCCCCAAGCAATACTTCAGTGTGAGCTAAACATATTTATTTTAGTCTTCAATTTTATGTACTTATAGAATTTAATTTCATTTAGTAGTAAGAAATAGGATGTAAGAATGTTGCTGTTGTGCTAAAAACACCATGTTCAAAATCAGGTAAAGTTATTAAACAATATATTGTAAAAGGCGGTCAATGAAAAATCTCAACTCTGGCATCCAGAAAATTTGCTTGGTCAGCAAATTGATTTTAAGTATCTTGCAGTCTTAGCAATTTTAACCCTGGAAGGAGCTGATTACCTACAATCTGCAGGCTATGCTTGCATTATCAAGGTAACACAGACAGTCCCACATTAGCCAAGAGTACCTAACAGTTTATAACAACAGTATTTTTGAGTCAAATTCTAAATAAGATCCATTAGAACTATATAAAAATAAGTATTTTTACATTCTATTAGAAGTCTTTATAAATATATACAGTTTAAATGAAAAAATAAAATACTTATACTCTATAGGTAATTCTGTATATAGCTCATAATTAAATTAAACCTATATCCCAAGTATAGAAAGCATATTTGCCCAATAACTTATCTTACTATTTCTAATATATTCTCTTTCCTCTGAACCAATTTATTAAATAATTCATGCAATTTGCATTCTCAACTCCAGTGTTAAAAAGTAAAAAAAAAAAAAAAAAAAATTCACTATTTTAAAGCAAAATGGTAGTTCTTTGCAGCAGCTCTGTGGGGACATAGGGAATTAAGAATTCAGCTGCCTATCCCAATCACAATGCACCAGTATCCTTAGGGATAGCAGGTTTACAAGAAGTCTAAAAGATCTTTTAGGGGCTGGGGAGATGGCTCAGTGGAATAAGCGCTTCCCTGGCAAGCACTAGGGTCTGAGTTCAATCCTTGGTTCCGCAAAAAAAAAAAAAAAAAAAATCTTTTGACCAGATGTTAATTTTTTAAATCATACTGCTATTTAAGTAAGGTAATACGTCAATAAGGAATGTCAACAAGAAAATTCATTTTGGTCTTGGGCAACATTTTTTTTTTTCCTGGAGACAAGGTCTTGCCATGTAGTCCTTAAAATCACTTTGCAGTCCAGATTGGCTGCAAACTTGTAGCAATCCTCCTGCCTCAACCTCCAAGTGCTGAAACTAAAAAGGCCTACACCATCACACCTGGCTATTCTTCAGTCTACTCTTATCTGTACTACTACTTTTTTAGTTCTTGTTGTTTTCAATAGCTGTAGAGTAAAGGAAACTTCTACAGATCAATGAGCAAAATATTCATTTAAAAACTTTCTAGTTATATACAATATATGCTCAATATTTCAAAATTTTCCAAATGGAGATATTAGATGATTATTTTAAATTAATGAGTACTTAATCCAATTAGATTGTATTTTAAAACTTTAATGACAGTTAACACATACAAACTTAAAGTAATATTAAACCTGATTTATAGAAAAGAAATGCATGTAAGAGATTATGAGTAAAATTCCATTACTGTAAAAGTCTCCAGCCACTATCACACACAGGAACAAGTGGGTTGTTTTTAGCTGTTGCAAAGTACTAAAAAGCCTTAGAATATATGTGGAGAAACAGATGTCTCTCAACACTACATTTAAATATGAATTTTATTATCTGTCAAACCAGATTCTGAATATTTATCAAATTTTACATAACTGAACAAATAATATTTTGCAATCCTAGGTTGAATAATCTTTTGTATAAATATAAAAATCTCAGAGATGCGAAAGTGTTTTGCAAATCATAGTTTTCTTTTCACAGCTTTATAGGTAATTATAATTCTCACATTTTGAATATTCCATGTGATTTGATATATTTTTACAGAAAGAGTAAAAACATTTAATAAGTGTAACTACATCTAATTTGCAAAAATTGGTATCTGACATTTGTGTGCTCTTCAGAGAGTGCATAGGACATTTCTGCAGCAATTAAAAGGTAGATTCTTTTTAACTTAGATTTCAAGTTTTCTCCACTATTTCTTCTAATTCCTGGAAATACTATCAAGTTTTAAATTCTAGATATAATTTGTTACATATACAGTACATGCTTTATCCTTAAGCATGTGTATTTTTCAAACCTTTGAACAATATGATCAGATTCAGGATGATGGTATCTTCAGAAAACCTGCAGACATCCTCTGTGGAAGATTCAAGTTGAGATTCCTAATGCACCATCATGAAAGCCAGTGAAAGAGTACATGACTATGCCTTAGTGGGATTTCCTGCAGGCTTGGGATCATAACCGTATAAGAAAGTAGCTGTTATTACAAGGATGGCTCCAAGGAAAAAGACACTAAATAAAATGAAAGAGAAATAAAAAAAGATGAAAATCAGAATAAAGCAAAACAAGATCTTTTTATATCTTTATTAAAAGTTAAACTAGGGGAAGGGAATGTTCCAGTAAGTAAACAGAATGTTTCCTACATGTTAGATTTTTTGTTTTTGTTTTTGAGACAGGGTTTCCCTATGCAGTTCAGGCTGACCTTGAACTCACTATGTAGTGATCCTCCTCCCTCAGCCTCCCAAGTGCTGTGATTAAAGGCACATACCATTCATGCCCTGCTACACTGTAGGTATTTCAGTGCTTTACATGCATTATCTCAGTTCTCACAATGGGCCTTGTTAAGAAATACTAGTATCAGCTTCAATTTTTGCCTTATGAGGAAACAAGTTTAGAGTTTAAATAAATGCCTAAAGTCTCACAAGGTTAAATGGGAAATAGGATTCCAATCTAGGTTTGTCTGACTACCGTAGAGCCTGCACTCTCATCTACTGTTCTGTAAGGTTCCCAAATACTTAATGTGCTTTACTTTATCTTAATATGGATGTTACATGTAATCCATTCAGTGATAAAAGGTCTCAATTCTTTATTTGAAAACATAAAAGGAAAAGTTTATTCCTTTATGGCAAATCCCAACAAGGTCAATTTAAAATCCAAGGTTATAGCCAAAGCTCAGAATTGATTTTCATAAGATGCTTAACAAAAAGAAATTAGATTAACTGCAGGAAGCTCACAGTTCTTCTTTTTTGATCTATCTATAGATATAATCTATCTCACTTAGTTTTATTTTTTTTTTAATCTATCCCATTTAAATTGGAAATGAACTTAATCTGGATGTAAACTAGACTACCAAACTTTCAATCTGCACACATTTTTTTTGAGACTCACTATGTAGTCCAGTCTGGCCTCAAACTCACAGTGATCTTCCTGCCTCAGATCTTCATTCAGGACTGTTTTAAATGTATTAGAATATTTCTTTTATTATCTCCATTTTACCTCCTGAAACTTATTTGGCTTCTCTGAAATGTTATGTCTTTACTAATATTTCTGAATGTCCTTTTGGCAGCTTGTCCATCCCTCCTCATTCCCTTGGCCATCTCATCTATTGCTGTTTTGTATCTGTTCTATATGAACTAAGGCCCCATATCACTTATCTCTAGATCAACTCTGAGGATTAAACTCACAACCTCATACCACTTAGTTACATCTGTAGCCTTTGACATCAGATCTCTATTTTCTATTTGCTGTTGGTCATCTTTGCCAATATCGTATTTCTAATTTACTCCTACAAATATCTTATCTCTAATATACTCACTTTTCTGATTTATTTTTCTTATACTCCTTATTTTGCTTATTGATCTTATCATGATTCTACTTAAGTCTTCTTGTTAGCAAATATTATCAAGTATCCACAATTCAAGTCCCTGGGCTAGATTTTGAAACAAAGAATTGAATGAATGAGCCAGTTTCTTATTTTCAGACAGCTTACAGACATGTGAATAAGTGGTCAGCACAGCAGTAAAAGAATATATAGGTAGTTTTGTTAGTTAAAGGAGGCTCACATCCTTGAAATTATTAATCTGATAGTATTTTTCTAATAAAAATTTCTCTTCATAATCATCTAAAAATGTATTTCCTGATATTGTTCAACATTCAAATAGAGGTATCACAGAAGGCCAGAAATTGAATCAGACAACTAAATTAAGCACAACTCTTAGTCTGTGCAGTTCCAGAGTTCTAGAAAGCTAAGGAAAGCAAAGGAATGGTGACTAATGAAGACAGTATTCTGACAGTAGTTTACCCAAAGCCTAAAAAATTGCCTCATTTTTTACAGTAATAATATCAAGACATACTATAGACAGTTTTGTTACTTTAATCTTGGATTTATAATTGTGTTTAAGGCCTCTGAAGTGAATTGGGGCTGGGGAGATGGCTCAGTAGAATAAGTGCTTGCCTGGCAAACGTTAAGAGCCTGAGTTCAATCCCTAGTTCCACCAAAAAATAAATAAGTAAATAAATAAGGCCTCTGAAAAGTTACCCATCTACATCAACACTTGTTATTAATCATAGCTATCACTGAGCTAACTGTATGTGCTAGGCGCTAGTAGTACAACAATAAGTGAACAGCATATGGTTGGGCAGGGAGCAGATAAGTGAATAATGTAGTATTTAATAGCATTTTGATAAGTGCTGTAATGGTATAATTCTGCCCAGTGGATTAAGTCTTATAGACAGTAGACCTGAATTGTTATGAATGAACATTTTCCTTGAGGAAAGGAAATTATGAACAGACAGCATGTCTGTAGACATGGTGACAGGGCATGATGGAGCACAATGGCTGATATAACTTGGTGAGGAGGAATCTGAGAGAATGAGGTTAAGGGAACTATATTGTGAAAGATCTCTGACATCATAATAAGGATTTTTTTGGGGATGGGGAGATGGCTCAGTGGAATAAGCGCTTCCCTGGCAAGCAAGTGCAAGGGCCTGAGTTCAATCCCCGGTTCCGCAAAAAAAAAAAATAATAATAATAAAATAAAATAAATAAGGATTTTTTTCTTTGAGACAGGGTCTCACTATGTAGTTCAGGCTAGATTTGAACTCACTTTGTAGCCCAGATACAAAACATAATGTCCAACACAGAAATATAAAGAACATACTCTATTACTGCCAAATTCTATGAATAATCTTATCTCTATCAATGATGCAAATAAATTTTACAAGCCATATTAAAATGTTAAGACATTCATCCAACAAACATAGGATCTACTGTATGTTAAATATCAGTCCTGTTTGTTTCTTTTCTTTCTCTCTCTCTCTCTCTTGTTTTTTTTTTTTTTTTGAGACAGCATCTGACTATGTAGCACAGCCTGGCTTCAAATTGGACATCCACATACTTCAGCCTCCCGAGTACTGGGGGTAAAATAATTTGCCACCATGCCTGGCTCTAGCCCTGCTTTCTGATCTGATGATAAGTCTTCCAAAAAAGGGGAAAAGAGGAGGTTGAAATAATGGAAGGCGGGTAGAGGGTATAGCTCAGCAGCAAGTTCAATCCCCCGTACTACATAAACAAAACAAAAAAAGAAATAATGGAAGGTATTCTTCTTCTTCTTCTTTTTTTTTTTAATGTATTTAGTACAGGGTCTACAGGGTCTCACCACATAGGCCAGACTTGTAGTGATTCTCCTGTTTTTCAGCCTCCTAAGCACTGGGATTACAGGCACACCCCACCATGCCCAGTCTCAATTGCTGGCTCAGTGAGCCCTGGGGGAGAGGCCAGCACGGCAGGCCAGGGATCGAACCCCAGTCCCTGCATCTGCCTAAGCAGGCACTTTAATCCACTGAGTTATCAGGCTGGCACTGGTATTCTTTAATTTTAAAAGTAATGCCAGCCTGGCATGGTGGCACATCCCTATAATCCCAGCACTCAGGCTAAGACAGAAAGATTGCCTTGAGTTCAAGACTAGCCTGTTATTATTGAACTAAATAACAAGATCCTATCTCAAAAAATAAAAGAAAAAAAAAAAAAAAAACAAAGAAGCAATGCCATGTGAATGCAGACAAGTTTCAAAAAGATGAAGGGGAAATCAAAGGCCTTGACAAAGAGGTCACTATAGTTCATTTCTCCCTTATTCCTTCCCTCCCTCCTTTTTCAATGATGAGGACTGAACCTAAGGCCTTTGCACAAGGTATATCCCATCCTCACCCCATCCCAATCCCTTTTTATGGGACAGGATTTTTGCAAATTTATGCAAAACTGAGCCTGGATTTATGATCTGTTTGCCTCAGCCTCAGTGTACTGGGACTATAGGTGTGTTCACCAAGCCTAGTTTCACTCTAACTTTAAAACAACATGTGGCCGAGGATATAGCTCAGTAGCACAGTGTCTGCCTGGCAAGCAGTGAAGTTGTGAGTTTGATTCCCACCACCTAAATAATATGAAGAAGAAAGTAAAATTTGATAAGTACAGTGAAGTACAGTACAGTGAAGTACAGTACAGTGAAGTACAGTACAGTGAAGTAGATGAAGGCCAAATCAAATAACCCATTCACCTATTTTAACTTAGGAGGTGGGAAAGCAATTAGACAATTTCTGAGCATGGTACTGATATATTTCATTTAAACAAAATAAAAATTGATCTCGTTGTTGAACAGAAGATTGAGAAAAACAAGTAGTCAAGTCAGAAAATCATTTCCTTGGCCCTGATAAAAATGAAGGTAGTCTGAAACAGGGTGGTAGCACTGGAGGTTGTGAGAAACGTTCTGACTCTGGAGATATTGGAAAGAAATGACCTAATTTTTTACTTCACTTCAGAAAATTAAGTTCTACACACTTAAGTACCTCCTATAAGTCATCCTATCATACTATCTACAAATACTGCTTCCCTTTGGTTACTGTGGATAAACTGTGTTCTTGAGTCAAGGAAGATTTGGGCCTAGGACCCTGAAGAATAAAGGTGATTCAGCCACCAAATTGGGAAACCCAGCCCGAAGTAGGGGATGAGTGCCTCGTGAACTTCTGAATGAAAATGCTGAGCAGGCACTATACCAGTCTCAAGTTCAAATTTAAATGTGACCAAATGAAATAAGACTCCAACTTTAGAAATTGAGAAAATCAGGAAGAGGGTGAAGCTGGAAGAAAACGAAATATGGAGTCCTGAAAGCCATTAAGAGGTAATCAATCCCACTAGTCTGGTATTATAAATTAATAATTGCAAAAAAAAATTCATAGAGCCCTCAATACCAGCTGCCACGAGTACTCATCACATGGAATTCGCCAAGTCTGTTCCCTCCGTTGGCATCTGTGATACCACAAAACGCTGGGTCTCCTGCCTTACTTCTCACTACTCCTTTTACAATTCCTTTTCAGAATTATTCTCCTGCCTAATTAATGGATTGAGGCTTCTCTTGAGCCACCATCTCTATATAAATTATCTTCTTCAGGAATGTCATCTACTCTCCTAGGTTTATTTATATGGATTATGTATTTTAAATGGCATGATTTATTTTATGATTATATGACTTACAAAATTTTTATATGACTTTTTTACTTCAGTAGAAAAACATTCAGACCTATTAGGAAAATTCTGGCTATCCAAAGTTTTTGTTTGTTTGTTTGGGTCTTTTCTGGTTTTTTTTTTTTTTTTTTTTTTTCTGGTTTTTGAAACAGGGTCTTGTAGCACAAGCTGGCCTCAAACTTGTGGTAATCCTGTTTCCAGCATCTCCAGTTTGGGGATTACAGGAATGCACCCACACACCCAGCTGGCATCAAAAGTTGTATAAAAAGTTTCTGGTAGAAAATTTTCTTTCAGCCAGGCACAGTGCTGCATGCCTATAATCCCAACACTGAAGAGGCTGAGGCAGGAAGACTGCTGCAAGTTCAAGACCAGTCTGGGCTACAAATTGAGCTCAAGGCCAGCCTGAACTGCATAGCAAGACCCTATCTCAAACACACACACACACACACACACACACACACACACACACACACAAATTATTCCAATGTGTTTAGTTTGAGGTATTCATTTTACCTTGTTTTTTTTTTTTTTTTTTTGGTACCAGAAATCGAACTCAGGACCTTGAGTGTGCCAGGCAGGTGCTTATGCCACTCAGCTATAGCCTTCACAAGGTATTTATTTTAAAAGATAGTTAAGTGAATTTTAAAATTACATTTCAATGGGTTATTAAAAGTTGTAACAGGATCACTCTAAGAGTTCTTACTTTTGTATATAATTATGGGGATTTAGAGAAATAAAAAAATATTTTACCTGGTTGGCAGAAAATCCTGTAGCCAAAAATAAGATATCAGTGTTGATAATATTATGGATAAAGAGGTTGCAAATCCTTTTAAAATATTATCTGCATATTTAATCACAGCAGCTACAACAAGACCTCCAAGTGCCTGTAAAAGTTTTAAGAGGTATTTTTTATTACTCATGAAGCTTTGAACGTAATCTCATTATTATAAGCGATTTACATTAAGCATCTCTTATCACCACTAGATTTGCAGGTTTGGCTCAACAGGGCACTCTTATTTCACAAGGTTATCTAATAAAGAAACTTTCAAAAATTTACATGGAGTTTTGATGATGCAGCTTTCACTTGCTCTTATTCAACTTAATCATTTATTTTGGAGCTCACATCTCTGGGCAATACATAAATTTCTTTCTAGCTTTGCTATAGAAAACATCTCTGAATCTTGAGCATATATTAGCTGTCCAGGTTACTTTTCAGGAACTTGTAGGCCACTTTTGCTGATAGGGCCTGCAGATAGGTGATGGATGATGACAGAGGGCCAGCATGGGATGAGGCTACCTGGCCTCTCTTCACATGCTGTTTCCTGTGTCACCTTAACCTTTGAGTAAGATTCTACTCAGTTTTGCATGTGGACACATGGATTATTTGCAAAATATTTGACCAGGGGGCTAGTGAAATAGCTCAACAGACTAAAATACCTGCTTAGGCAAGCTTAGCCAGGCGTACAGTGAAGTACAGTACAGTGAAGTACAGTACAGTGAAGTACAGTACAGTGAAGTACAGTACAGTGAAGTACAGTACAGTGAAGTACAGTACAGTGAAGTAGATGAAGGCCAAATCAAATAACCCATTCACCTATTT